CGGAGACACTGAAGAGGGACTTCAGGAGCCTGATCGAGACGGTGCGCAGCACATCGCCTGCGACGAGGATCATCGTGTCAGGACCACTTCCCACGTATCGATGAGGACAGGAATCCATAGTTTATTTGGGTCTGTTCGAGACAGAGATCCTACAGCAGTGCAAAGCTGCTTAAACTTTTAATGCATTCTGAGGTGAGGTGATGTTTAGTGTTTGTTTACAGCTCATTTACCACTTTTGAATCAAGCTTACCTGATAAATGGATGGCAACCTTGGAAGGGACATTTTCTTTTGAAAGATTATCTCTTAATGTGAGCCTTTGCTCTGATGGGGAAAAACACAAAATAACTCATATAAGATGATTTAGTTTAACAGAAAATCACATTATCTGATGTGAATGGGAAAAAGGGGATCTGAAACTGAGGGTCTGAACTCACCATTTCCACCTTCCTGATTGTTCTGAGACTAGAATGAACAAGAAACATAACATTAAGTACACAATAATGCACAAATATGTGCCTGAAATGGCATATTAAGAATGACATGCATGATGTTTATGGGTCAGGATAGTCACCTTGTTGAGCGTGAAGCAGACAGCAGCGGCGGCACACAGGGCCACAGCCAGCAGGACCCCACACACCCGCCAGACGCCTGACTTTGAGGAGCTGGCCTTCCTCCTCGACACTATCACCTCTGGTAAGGGCAGCACTCCTTCTTCAAGAAACTGACTCTCAAGATCCATCATCATTGTGTCTGTTAGTTAAACTATGTCCAAATATAAGAAACTGCACCGTGTCAGTACACTTTTAAATGGTCTTGTAAAGTCTCCTCAGCGCAGTTTCTCACTTCAGTGTTTTGCTTGGTTGGTCTGTCAGCGTTGTGCTCAGAAAAGCTGGTTCTTCATTCTTTTTAAAGCACAGAGATTGCAAGACCAGGGGAAACTCCAGTGATGTCAGAGTGTGGAGAAAAAATTAGCAGTAGAGGGAGACTGAGAGGAGAAACCATGAGATACACCCACACAGATACATTCACACCCACTTGCACTCACAAAAGGGAATTACAACCACAAAATTAAGCCAATCGTTGTATGGACCATTGTTTCACAGATACATTCACACCCACTTGCACTCACAAAAGGGAATTACAACCACAAAATTAAGCCAATCGTATGGACCATTGTTAACAGATTTGTGACATCGTATCACTCTAAAAATAAAGGTTCTTTATTGGCATCTATGATTCTATGAAGAACCTTTGACTTTCATAGAACTTTTTCACTGCACAAAGGGTTCTTTATGGTGGAAAAAGGTTCTTTAGATTTTCAAAATGTTCTTTACACTAAGAAAAAAATGCTTCTTTTAAGAACTGTTCTTTGAGGTTCTTCTATAGCATCACTGCACAAACACCCTTTTGGAACCCTAATTTACATTTATTTAATTTATTTTGGATATCAGTGATGTATGCATTTTTATAATTTAATTATACATTTTTATATAGGTCTAATTTTGTTAATGTAGATTTTGTGGTTACAGTAATTCAGATTTTAGATTTGCATTTTCATTTCAAATTGAGAGGTTAAAATGAGACCTGTGGGTGAAGAACACCTCTAGAATTAGCACAAAAGGCCAGCATGTTGTTATTTGTGTTTTTATTATTTAATTGAATAATTATTAGAATTCATTAAGGTATTGCATAATACTACATAATATTTCCAAGAATGATATTTCAAACGTCATTATATAGGTTAAGTGAGTAAAATCATTAAATCTTAATTTATGGTGTATCATATTTCAACAATCCCTTCAATTAAGAATATAAGCCTATACGTAATTCATAGAATTACGTAATTCAGAATATAATCAAGAGGTATCTCTTTCACTGGTATTCTGTTTGATTTCTCTGTAAGTATTCAACCAAATTATACAGTGCACAAATTTATATAAATGACACAACAGTCAGTCCTGCTAGGCTACTTGTTCACAGGTCGCACAGCGATATCTCAGCCTGTGCAGAGCACTGTTAGAAAGCAGAGTGAGCTGTACTCTTAAAAATAATGATTCCAAAAGCATGTTTTCACAACAATGCATTGAAGAACCACTTGGGGTTCCCCAGAGAACCTTTCAGTGAACAGTTCTTAAAAGAACCATTATTTTCTTAGTGTGAAGAACATTTTATTAATCTAAAGAACCTTTTTTTGGTATGGAAAGGTTACATGAAGGTTCAAAGAGCTCCTTCTGACCAAACACCGGGTAGAGATGGCTGAGACAGTTACAGTAGGCCTACATATTGTATAATACTAAGTGCTGCTTCTTAAGCCTGGCCTATTAAAACAAGTGTATACTACCATAATAATGTATATACATACTTTGTTATGATGCTTACATTACATAAAATAAAAAAAGTGTGATATAAAAATCTAAAAAAATATTGTGAGACTATTGGTCATAAATCTCAAATGTCTAAATGTCATTCATAGTGCAAGTGGCACTAAAAATAATACACCTATTGAAATTCGGTGCAGTGAAAACTGATGGTAATTATGATCAGTCAGCGATAGAATTAAATACAAACACTGTTTAAATAAGAAAAGAAACAGGAAGTTGTAGTTTCTAAGGAGTAACAGCTAAGAGGAAACAAAGAATTAAGACACTGTTGACAGACTGAGTGAAAACGAACCATGAGGGACTGTTTATATCTTTTTCTCTTTATGCTTCATTTCAGTACAGGTGAGTTTAGATTTTGCGTTATTTAAGGGGACTCATTGTGAGATCATTGAGCAATGAATATAGATCTGCTTTAAGACAGTACATTATAAGGGTATTCTTAAGGCATTATAATGAATGCATAATGCATTATAAAAAAATTATAATATGTTGTTTCATCTCATAAATAATCATAACAATTATAATACATTATAAAACTTACTTCTTTGTGGTTATAACTTTTATGAGTATGCTTATTTATAACACGCAATGAACACCATTTTAAATCCACTTAGTTTATAATGGATTATAAGTCTCATATCTTGACATTATTTATTTAAGACTGTCACAGTATCTTACTATCATGCTGATACTGCATTAAATATGGTTAAATGCAAATGTGCCATATAACACATTCATCTGATCAAATATCTGATCTTATGGCTGTTTAAGAAAAAATATTGTTTTATTTATTATTATTGTTGTTGTTGTTATTATTTATAATTGGTCTTTGTCTGCTTTAAGTAAAGTAACAAGTTAACAATGGCAAGATATGAGACTTATAATACATTATAACTATGGGAAATATAATCTAATGTAAGTGGATGCATTGTGTTCATTGTGTGTAATAAATCATCATACTCTTAAAAGCACAAATAAGTAAATATTATAATGCATTAAAACTGTTGTTATGATTAATCATGAGATGATATTGCATATAAGTTTTTTTTTATAATACATTATGCATTTATTATAATGCCTTAAGAATACCCTTATAATATATTATAAATACAGGCTTCATAGAAAGTGTTACCGGGTGGCTCTCTGTTTGAAACAGGGAAGCAGTGCAAACAAATTAAAAAAGTATTTGTGAATACTACTACTACTACTACTAATAATAATAATAATAACCCAAATCTGATGAGATTTGAGTAACATTGTGTTGTTCATTAAATACTATTAAGGTTTAAATGATGCTTGGACCCCTGAAGGGATCTTTTCAGCTTTTATTTTTCCTGGTTATTGTATATTCCAGTAAAGCTCATTTGAATGCTCTGGATAAACTCTTTTGTTTGCAGGCTGTATTGTTTCAGATGTGCAGCAGACAATAGGAATAGCAGGATACACAGGTGGTTCAGTTGTGCTGCCCTGCTCCTGTGCTGACCCTCAGTCTACAGTCACGACATTCACCTGGCACTTTCAGCAGAGAAATCAATGGATTCAAGTATTTCAAGATGAGAAATACAGCGGCAGACGTGTGCTGTTTGATGAACTTTCTCCAACAAATCGGTCTCTTCTCATTTCTGACCTCAGAACGAATGACCAGGGCTACTATAGATGTATGACCGAACCAAACATTATTACATACGTTGACTTAAATGTTAAAGGTAAGTGGAAATTTGGAGCTGGTGACAGACGCAATATCTTTAAATTTTACTTCTACTGACCTTTGAGTTTCTCTTGCACTTACTACAATGCAGGCCTTTTTTGGTTGCAATGTTACGCTGAAATCATTTTAGGATTTTTTTTACTTACATTTTACTTACAACTGAAATATAATATAAACATCATTTGTATAATGTTTTCAGGGTGTGATTTGGTTGAGAACAGAAAGACAGCTGTAGTGACTGGATATTCAGGAGAGTCTGTGGTTCTGCCCTGTTCCTGCACTGAACTACAGGCTAAACCTGAACACATACAGTGGAATTATTTCAAAGAAAATAAACATAAAGAAATTTACCCAAATGAACAAATTGAGAATTACAAGAACAGAGTCAAACTGTTCAATCCAAACACTCCAGGAAATCTTTCTCTACACATATCAGCACTGACCACAGAGGACCAAGGGCACTATCAGTGTTTTGTCTCGTCTCAGCAAGTAGTCGCTGTCAGACTTCGTGTTGAAGGTAGTTTTCTTCTATTTCTGTTGTCAGATCGCCATTGCTATTAATTTTGTTTTTACGAAGAATCTAAATATTTAGAATAATGATATCAACTTGTAGATAACATGCTTTTTTGTGTTATATTATCACTTACACTTATTGGCTTCTGAACAGAAAAAACTTGTGTCCACCCAATCAATTTAACAACAGATCAACCTTCACACCTAACACAAGACTCCACTACTTCACAACTTAAACTGATTCCACAACATCACACACCTCAATGTAAGTCACAGGCTTTGGTTACAATATTGTTTTCTCATTATCTTTAAAGTGTTTGTATTTAATTGTTTTAAAATTATGCATGGAGCTTTTATGAGCTCATATTGAGAAATATTTATCCATATTTGTACTACATAAAAAAAGAAAAAAGCATTTGTCAAGCCATTTCTGTTTCTCCACAGCTGTTTTCATTCTGCTGGGAGTGTTTTTCTCAGTGCTTTTACTGGCATTACTGGCATTTACATGCTGGAGATGTAGAGGTACATGAACACACATAATCATTCTTCTCATAACTATACCGACTAAATTATGTTTAAATGACCAGCGAATGGGGCTGTACTCATAGAATAAAACACATAGATTCATAGGTACAAATTCAAAACCAAATAAAACTGACATACTTAAAATCATCATCAAAACTTGTTTGGTGTGTTGTTGTATGTTGTAGGAAGCAGAAATGCTAAAAAGGTGACCACTGATGGAGAAGAGCTAAAGAGAGAACAAGTCAATCAGGTGAAAACAAACTTACTGTTGATTACATAACATTGATGTGATGCTGTGTGTGCAATCATCCCATTTTTCCTCTCTCTCCAGGATGACGTGATGTATTCAGCTGTAGTCCATGTTAAAACAGCATCCACACCAGCTCACACACACAGTGACCCAGCAGAGCTCACGGAGTACGCTTGCATCAATGTTAAATGCTATTAGAACAACAGTGAGCACTGTAGAGATTGACACAACTGTATCTTTTTGTTATGAGTTTTCTGTAACCTCAACATGAAAAGAAACCTGTTCATTGTTACTCACTTAAAATAGTTGGGTTAAAAATGACCCAACAGAT